AAACATAAGTTTAACATGTATTTGTGGAATTGTTTTTGTATAATTTAATTAGGGAGGCTGATAAATTGATGTGAAGGAAATCGAGGTTCAAATTTTAGTTATCTCCATCCAAGACATTATCTTCACACTTTAACCATTCTTAGGCTCTTGTTATTGATGCATCTATCATGGACAATCCCATTCAAGTGTCTTCAAGTCTAAAACATAAAATTTTATAATGACAAATGTAAACTAAATGCTTGTGAGATTTTTTTATTTTTTATACCACCAGGTTACTTGGCAATACATTATTTGCTTTCATTAATGTCTAATTAATTATCTTTAAACAAGAGAATCAATTATGATTACTCCATACTATATCCATCATTGATCGATGCATGGGATTCTGAAAGTAGTCTGCTTAACTTCAATTGGTACCAAGGCTACCCCTTTGTTTATGAAAGAATTGGATCCAAAAAACCATATGAAAAAAAATAATGAAGCTAGTTGTTGAAAAAATTTCAAAATAAATTCTCAAAACTCAACCAATCGTAACAAGGAATAAACCAAGTTCGGTTATTTGTATAAGCAAAAATAATGTTGGCTTCAACTCTCAACAAATGGTTAGGGAAGCATAAAATAAAATAAAGCCAATAAGTTGAAGCTGGTGTACATCAAACAGTTCAAATACCATTATGTATCTATTTCACAAAATCCATACACATATTTGTTAAATTTTTAAACACCTACTAAATTACACAAGTCCGCCTCTTATATAATTTAATATTCAGCATTATTTAGCCAAAGACAACCCTCTCCATATATAAATTCTGAGGACAATTATTTTTACATATACTGGGTACTGGAAATTTACTGGAGAAGAGCTTCAGCTAGTTATGGTGATAAGAAATGCACCCGAGCAAGAGGATACTCCTTTCCAGCTATGAAAACACCAGTTTGTGACCACTTGATATCCTCCCAATCAAGATTCTCTTCCAACACCTGTTCAAATGAAAAAAAAAAAGCGAATTCATAAAAAGGAAAATCAGTAAATTGAACAGTCTTTTGAAACAAAAACAAATTATTCTAGTCAATTCTCCTATGAAACAGTGACAAAGTGGATTATTCGATTAATTTTCCCGTTAGGCAGAAAGAACCTTGTCACTCAAAGATCTTTTACCAAGTAATCTCTGTTATGTGAGGCTAAAATTGTCGACTCTCAAAAGATATGGAGATTGCAAGCTGCGATTGATTGCAAAAGGTGCAATTCTATGACCATGATTACAAAACATATCGTCTTTTATGAGGTCAAGAAGAAAAAACACATTTCATAAATCTTAAATATTGGGTCAATTATTTCTCATAGTGACCAGCACTGGCAGATGGTTTTTCTACATATTTAAGCTAGGTAAGCAAAGATTTTAAGAACTTCACTAGTTGAGTACCCCTTTCATTTTTCAAACCTGCCCATCACTCATGCCCTGTTTGGTTCACTGGAATGAAGTGAAATAAAATAATTATTCCATCATAATGTTCATTCCTACATTTGGTTTACTACAAAAAATGATGGAAAATGTAATACAAATGGAATCATTATTCACCATTGTGAGGGAATAGTCATTCTATAAGAAGGCTAAAGAACAACCGTTCTATTCTATTCGAATCATTCAAGTGAACCAAACACTACATCATTTCTTTAAGTAGAAAGCATCCTGATAAGCACCAGGATAAAGGATAGAAATAATTTACCTCCAAATGTTCCAGGGGCAACGGTATTCCAATTGACCGCATGACTTTTTGGGGAAGGGGCTTCTTACAACGAGACCACCGGAAAACATCAATCAAAACACTATCGCCATCTATTGCACCAGTTCTTTCACCATTTGTAGAGTGCAAGTTGTGAGTATGAGATTTTTCCGTCTCCATATCATGTGTCTGAGATGATGTTGCAGCCTTGACCATCTTCTCTCCAATGAAGCAGAGCTCATACCTGAAGATTAACACAAAAACTCAGAGGCACAAGAACAAACATAGAAGTTGACATATACTATTTTAATCTTTGCAGCTCAAACTTCAACCTTCAATATAAAAAGTAAGGGTAAATTCTAAATTACACTGACCATCCTTCCTAAGATTTGTGCTTGATACAAATTAGTCCTTCACGTTCTAGAAATTACACAAACCTCCCCTATTAACATTTTCGGTTAAAGGAGCCAACGGAAAAAGGAAAAATACTATGAACCCTAAAAAAAATATGAAATTATTCATTACCCTCTGCATCTTCTGCCTCCCTCTGCCCTTTCTCATCTCTCTCAGAGTTCCAATCGGTCCACCCAACCACCACCACTGCCAAATTCACCCTCCACTGATCGCATATGTTAATCTTATTTCTCTAATTTGTAGTTTTAGTTTCTTAATGCATAAAAAGATGTCCTTTCTCCAAACATAATAATATCAACTCATTTACAAGATTTTTACAGCCAAAAGGCCCTGAAACCAAGCAGCATCTATGCGTCAATGGTTTTGCATGCATACAATTACAAGACTATATTTTTCAATGTATCTCTTGATATATACAACATTTCATCAACACAAGAAGTTAGGACTATTACAGTTTATCAAAATATAGCATGACAACCAATCAATATTCAATAAATAATCAAAATATAGTAATGAATTGCACTATTTTATTCATGGTTACTGAAGTAATAATTCTCATGACAACTTTCGTTGTTGTAGTTATGAGTTACTCCATGCCAAAATGGGAGTCATAGTTGAGAAAACACAAAGTTTAAGCAGTAAAAACTGCAAGTGACCCCATTTTCTTGGCATTACTTTTCCAATTTTTCCCTAAACGAAGTTTAGAAATAATTGCTGTGATTATGGCATTTGTGGTGAATTTTATTTGCAAGGAGTAATATAGACAAATAACAGAATAATTGTTTTGATTTTTCCATTGCAACACATTTGGGACAGTCAAAAATTTGAAGTATAACATCTTTTAGGGAGGGAGTATTATTTGGGCAGTGGTTTAGAATTCAGTGAAGATAATCTCAGCTCCTCAAGACTTAAACCAAAAGAAAAACTACTAGCATCTTCATGAACTTCTATCATTTAGCAATTGAGAGGTGTGCATGTTCCATGAATAGATTACAATATGACACGAGATTCTTCTTGTGCATTCAATTTTTCAAACTACTGTATAAAAATGAAATGCTATAAAACTCTAAGCAAGCACTCCTCTAAGCCTAGTTAATACCTGCGTGAATGGGTTTCCAAATACAAAACTTCCCCCTTTTTCAAGCGTGCAGAAGTGTACAGTGGTTTCTTCAAGCCCTTGTCTGCAACAATGCTTATACTGTACTTGATCCTGGAAAAATATACAAGTACATAAATTGAAGACATGGTAACAGGGGCGAGAGAGAGAGAGAGAGAGAGAGAGATCTAAGTTGACATTGTTATTTTCACATGGATGTGATCAATACCAAATACATGACAATTTTGTTATGCCCATAAGTGATCAAAGCCAAGAGCAATGCTCAAATTTAAAATGAGCACTGCTGTGTAGCTCGAATTTAAGCTTGGCCCGAATGGCTCGAAACTCATCTTGCCAGTCGTCCGGCGATAAGGCTAACAGCCACCATTGACAAGGTGTCGTCCGGCCGGTCGTCCGGGTGGTCGTCCAGCCAGTCGTCCGATGAACACCCATTCCGGCCATTCGAGCCCCCTCCTTTTCGAGCTACAAAGGCATTTCTGATTTAAAATACATCTAATTGAAAATATCAATATCAGTGGCAACATTCCTTGCCAAAAGCAGGAGACTAGCTCATGCGCATAGTCAAAACAACAATGCAGCAATCAGATAAGTGTAATGCTGAATGAGAACTAGTCTATTAACGAGTAATGCACATGCAACCTCTTAAGAAACCCTTCAAATATAATGAAACCACAACTAAATTCATTTTTCTGATTCACTAATGAAAACTAGGGCTGTAAATAGGTCCAATTCAGTGTGAACTGGGCAATGTGTATTACAAGTTCAATTGATAAAATACCAAACCTAAGTATGAACAAAAAAAGTCTAGAATCTAACAATCCTACATAATCAATTTAGTAGGGTTTAAAAGGATTTTTTGTTTGTTTTGTTTTGTTTTTTAACACAAACTAATATATGTACTAATTTTTAGCCATTAAGGAGATTTTTCCTTTTGTTTGATGTATTTAATTTTCTTTGTTTTATTGATTGTACTTGTGGACAACTTATGCTTGTTATAATTATATATATATATATAACTATGTCATGAAGCATGTTCAATGTTAATATTCCTAGGGTCATAGCAAAAATTCATAGTGCAACATGCCAAAGCAATAATATAAAAGTATATATATATAAAAGTATATAACATGACATCTAAGTTTTATTCAATAAATCTAACCTAAAACCAAATAGATCAAAGTTAATTATCAATGAGTCAAGTAAAAAAAATAAAAAAAAAACCAGGATAACTAATATGGTTACAGTTCTAATTTTGAAGAACTTGAAGATTGAACACTGAAAGAATATAGATCTAAGAATTTCGTAACAGCTCTATGTGGTTTTTGAGTGATATTAGCAATTGAAAAAAAAAATACAAGAAAAAAGAGTCTTACATGCATAGTCTACTAACGGCCGTAACATAACAGCCATTACATAATGGTAACATCTGTTACGGATGGGATTTTCAATCACACCACTATAGCATCTGTAACGGGTGGCAGTAACTACCCATACGGTTACATAACAGCAATATGTAATAGTTACGACTTATTTTTAAAACCATAATGTACTCTTCCATTTTGTAGTAGAACAAAATAGGCCGAGTTAACCAAAATAGACAGTAGGCTATCAGTGAGTGAATACCCAATCAAAGCACCACAGAATCTGTCTAGATGGATTGGATTTGAATCAACCACGGAATTTTTAATTCAATTCATATACTGGCCATGCTATGGGAAAATATATCTTGATTTACAATATTCTCAACAAGGTTACTCCTAGCTTAGTGTAATTTTGCATAATGATTTTCATATCTTGCATTTTTTTTTATGGCATTTTATTCCAAGGGCACCTCAGGCCATATATAGAAAAATCTACATACAAAATGGGTGGCTACTCCAGTTTCTAATACATGATGGTTCCATGAACTTATATATATATATATACTGTTTAAGAGCCAAATATATTCTCAAGTAGTGAATAATGCTCCAGCTTTTCAACATATTTGAAAACTCAAAAGAATGGTATCCAAGCCTAGTAAAAATTAGAAGTATCCAGAAAACAATTAGGTAAGGGAAAAAATTATTCGGAATATACCATGGCTCATTGCACAGGTTGTACTGTATTGTGACTTCTCGGACAAATCTCTGTTGCCGTAGTGCGTTCTGAAGAACAAAAGCGAACAAGTAAGATGAACATTGTTTATTGAACAACAACATTATACACCAATGAAAGAACCAGATCATCACAAATTATGAGCATTCTACCAGTTTACGAAAGCAAAACTACAAATTAGATGTAATGTCCATGTAAACAAAATAATTTATGATCAGTTCTGCACATTAGCAATTAGTGACACGCGAAGACCGAAGAAAGGAATAAAACCAAACAATAAAATTAGCATCCTTGACAATAGAATTTTAAACATATCAGATAAGTGATATCTCTTCTCGGAAGATCTTTTGACAGTACTAACTTAACCAGGGACTGGTATTCGAAATCTTAGTGAAACAACGACATCCTTCAATTTATTATTATTTATTTATTTATTTTTAAATCTAAACATAGGATCAAATAGAAAAACCATTACCCTTTTTCAGCTGATATCATATATCATTTTCCCCTCTCTACAATTTTTGTTTAAAAAATAAAAAATAAAATTGGCTAGAAAGTGCCATTGTATCACCGATATGCAAGGTTGTTAAAATCGGGATCTTACGTTGGATCGTTGGAGGTATTTATAGGATCGGATCGTAGAATCGGATCGAGGATCGTAAGATCCTATCGAAAAAGACAAATTACATAATAATTTAATTTAAATAAATATTTCTTATAAAGTATATACAAAATGAGCCTATATTTTATTTAAAAAAAGTGAAGATATTATGAAAAATATAATACTCCATGTAAAATGTACATATAATATTATACAATAGAAAATTCGGTGGTAAAAGTTTTGTATTTCATCAAAAAAGAAGGTGAAGAAGAAGAAGAAGAATTCTTTAACAAAATACTTTACAATCTACAATAATGCATAAAAAGTAAAGAAAAAATATTTAACAAAGTTGGATATGAAAATAAATTAAGAACTCAAAAGAGTAGCTTAACCAAATGATAAGGTTTGTTGTTAGCATCCTTGGTGGAGCAGATTCAAGTCACAAAAATAATCTCTTGTAAAATTGGGATAAAGTTGCAATCATCTTACCCTCCTTAGACTTCACTAAAGCTAAGTTTGTTTTTCCGACTATTTAATTTTCTTAAATTACCACAATATTTGAATGTTTATTTCCTAATTTGTTTTTCTTAGTCTATTTGATTCAATACTACTTAATTTTTATTATTTATTTTGACAATATAAATTGATATTTAGACAACAAATATAAAATTTACAACAAAATATGTCATACAATACAAAACAAGACTTGTAAATTGGATCGGATAGGATCGGATTCGGATCGGGATTCCACGATCCTATAAGATCCCACTACCAGGATCGAAAGATCCTACCTATAAGGAGTTTTTTACACGATCCGGATCGATTGTACTCAAATCAAGGTTCTGAAAAGCGGTTGCGGTCACCGTAACGGTGGCGGTGGCGCGATTGCGGTTGCGGGGTGTAAAGGCCGTAGCGTAACAGTTACGGTAACCGGAACCGTGAATTTTTTTATTTTTCGCACAATTTGAAAAAAACTTACCGATATGTATATTTTTTTCCATGATCATATTTATTGGGTTTAAAATAAATATTGATCAATTTTTGTAAATTTTTAAGTATAATCCAATATATTTCATATTTTTAATTACTATAAACTGAGTTTTTTACATTTTATTTTAATAATTAATGACTTTATATTATACAAAAAATCAATCACTAACTATTATATATAAGATAAATAATGACAAAAATAAGAGAATAAATAAGGGCCTAAATATATACATATATATACATATTTTAACCAAGTCAAATAGATAATGACTACACTTATTATTATTATTATTAGTTTCAAACAATATATAGATAGAGACACACAAACAAAATGGTTGAGTGATAGTTGAATAGAATAGCATAGGTTTTACAGCTTCAACAAATCAATAACATGTTCTTCATCTTCCCTCTTCTCTCTCTCTATCTCTTGCTCCTCCATTTTCTTTCTTTATCTTTCCTCTTCTCTCTATCCCTCTTCCCCCATTCTCAGCTTTTTTTTGTGTGTTTTTTCGAAAGAAACAGTTCGGAACCGTTACGTAACGGTGCGTAATAGGCCGTTACGGCACCGTTACAATCGCTACAGCAGCCGTTATGGCCGACACACCTGTGAATCTCAATCACGCTGCAAAAGTGGCCGTAACGGGTGGCGGTAACCACCAAAACCGTTACGAAACGGCGTTACGTAACGGTTGCGGCCGCTTTTTAAAACCTTGACTCAAATGGATCGTAAGATCGTAGGATCGTAAGATCCAGATCGGGATTCTGATAACTATGCCGATATGGCACTTGAAATATATCCTATTTTTTAGGTTTTCCTGTATCACCATATGTCTTTGAGACTTGTTTAATGTGAATCATTTATTGGTGATTTATTTTTATAAGAAATTTCTTAGAAGATGCAAGATTGAAATGGAACTAAAAAAGTTAACAAATCAGCCCAAAACAGAGGAAGTAAAAAGCCAATGTAATTCACAAGTACATATGCATGTGCAATAAAAAATTCAAATCAGTTGGCCAGTACCGAAGCTGCAGCCCTTGTAGTCATTGTGCGCTCCACTGCCACGGGAGCAAGAGTTGGCTCCACGGTTGATGTATGAGTTAGACAAGGTTCAAGATCAATTGTCCCACCTCCTTTCTGGTAGAAATATGACAATGGACAAAAGAGCAGAACCATCAATTAATAACCAAATATTAAAAAATGGTCAACTAGAAGAAATGAATTCAATGAATTGACAGTCCAAGGCCTCCCAATGGATCAAAACAAATTTAAGTCATTCAAGAACTGTTGGCAAATTGATTGTATGCAATCACTACATCAACACAACCATCTCAGAATATAAAAGGAAAAGTAACAAATGTAAAAATTCAACTAATGAAAAAAAAGAAGAAGAAAACAAAGAGTATAATTCAGAGAAAAGAAGGAATAACCAGAAATGCTCATCACCTTCACAATGCAACACCGTTCAACACGATAACTGCAACCAATGGCAGCACCCCAAGCACGGGACCTGACGTTATTTCTCAGTGTAGAAATGTAGCCTAGAGAAAATGACAGAATTGCACGTGAACAAAGAATGTTCAGTAAGACAAAATAACCATAGATAAATAAGACGAAATGTGAAATCCAATACACAGATGAGTGGCCCACTTTTTTATTCAGAGCTAGACAATGACTTCAACTTCTAGGGCACAAAACAGCCACAATTAACTTCGACACAACAATGCATTAGGTCATTGGGGGACAAGTTTCTACAAAGTGGCGATGAATTAGCCCCATATCACTTTTCCTATTGCTAGCAGCAAGCTTCTTTTCTTCCTCCAGCCAAAATCTTCTTGCTCTTCTGCCAGCAGCAAGCTTCTCCTTCTCCAGTGGCATTTTCTACTTCTCAGGGACAAGTTTCTTCTCCAGCTGCTTGGTCACATTGTTCTTTATTTTTAAGAATCTCTCTCACATCCAAATTGAGCACAATCCACATATGAGAGAGTGGAGGTAAAGGGATTTTGGCTAGCAACAATGCTAGGGATACCTAATTTTCTACACACTTTTTTACAACCATGTGAGAGTGATTTTTCCTCTTTGGCTAGAGAGAGAGTAGTGCTAGGTTTTGAATGGTGGTGGTAGCATGGCAGTTAGGGAAGTTTTGATGGAGAAAAGTGAGAAAAGTGATAAATATAAGGGGCTCTACGGGGTTTCAAATTAAAGCGAAAAAATCAAGTGTGGCAATGGACTGGAAATGGTGGTGGCAGTGTGGTGGTTTGGGAAGTTTTTGTAGAGAGGAAAAGTAGCAAGTGAAAATAGCAAAAAAGAATTAAAAAAATTAAAACAAAAGAGTGAGAAAAGGAAGTGAATGGTGGCGATGGCACCATGATGCCAAAAGGAGTGGCGGTGGTTATGGAGAGGTGGTGGAAATGGTGGGGCAATGAGGAGGAGAAGATGATAAAGAAGTTTACGATTTATAGCGGAAAAAGGAAAGAGAGAAAAAAAAACGAAGTAAAGAGCACTATAGTAATTTTCATCCCCCAAACTCATTCAATCACATTCACACGGCAGCAAAATAGTGCATGTGTGTTGACTCTTTAATGGATTTAGTTAATAACTTAGTTTTGCACTTTAGTCCAAATCACAAGAAAGGTCCGACTCCACTATACAGGGATTACCTACGTTACACGGACTTGGGTGCGGGTGCGTATCTAGGGGTCGGACACCTCACCATTAAAAATTGAGAATACGGGAATATGGATCCAAATTTGGATACGGGTACGGGGATATGTTAAATAGTTATTTTTAAATATATTTATTATATGAGAGTTAAAAAAAAGTTAAGGAATAACAAACAAAATATAAATAACAAATAAAAATTATTTTAAGTATAAAATAAATAATATTATATATGATAAAATAAATTATTTTTATTTTAGGTATAAAAATTATATTATTTATGATATATTATATTATACAATAATATTATATAATATGAATAATATTATACAATGTTATATTATACAATAATTGTTATAATATGAATAATATTATATATTATTATATTAATGTAATTTATATTATATAAAAAAGAGAAAGAGGACAGAGAACAAAGAGAAAAGAAGACAGTCGATAGAAGAGGAGAGAGAGAGAGAGAGTAGAAGACGAAGAGGCAGATCGAGAGACGAGAGAGAAGACAGATTGAGAGAGAGAAGACAGAGAAGGAGATCGAGCATCGAGCGAAAGTCGAAGCTAGTGACCAAGTCAGTGACCAGATCGATGTCTTCACCCTTTCGAACGGTGACCAGGTTCTCTACTGCTCTCCCCTCTATGATTTCTTCTACAGTATCCGTTTGTAAAGAGTCGTATCCCGGCCGTATCCTGTACCTGTACCCGTGTCGTGTCGTGTCGTGTCGACACGGGTACCTTCGAAATTCCAAAGAGTTCATGTAACATAGGTAAAGGGAAAGAAACTTGAGGCAACAGAAGATGGGCAACCCACAAACATAAAGAGAGGCTAGTACAACCCTCACAAGGGTCGACTAGGCCAGAGGAGCCTTCGGCTGAAGTCAAAACAGCTCTGTGGGACCTTGGCTGGTTCCGACAGAGACTCAGAGGCAACAAAAGATGGGCAACCCACAAACACTCATCCACAGGAGCCAAAATACATAAAGAGAGGCTAGGACAACCCTCACGAGGGTCAACTAGGCCAGAGGGGCATTCGGCTGAAGTCGAAACAGCTATATGGGACCTTGGTTGGTTCCGACAGAGACTCAGGGACCAACGATACAGAATGGGTGGTGATAGGTGATGGCTAGTTGGTGGTAGCGGCTGTGTGAGTGACGGTTTTTAGGGTTTTGGCTACCATATAATTTAAGAGAATACAAAGCTTGAGTGATGATTATGAAATCATCACCTTTTATATTAATCAATCAACTATTACAAAAGGAAGCCCTAAGGCAATGATTAAGGAATCACCTTTTATATTGATTGATTGACTAAATTTTTCGGGAATAAGTCTTTTTTACTCCAAAATTGTTATACCTCTGTGGATTACCAGCTGACACGATTCTCTGGTTCAGCGCAATGAATCGCAACAAAATTTATGATCTTGTGCATGATTATTTGTGCATTAGAAAGCATTGCAATTTTTAGGCTATTTAACCTTTGTGGAATGTTTTTCGTCTTTGGATTTTTGTGTGCGTCGATTTCTAATTAAGAATTTATTATTTCTCGTGTTTATTGATTCTATTTTGTGATATCGTGTTCAAATGAGACTGACCATCAAATTCTATTTCACTACAACATCCTAGATAGTCTTCGCTATGTACAACTTTATGTAGACAAACGGGATTTGAGTAACAATGGAAAAAGGAAATGACAATTTGCAATTTCATTTTTTAACATTACCGTTCCCACCATACTTTATGAAAATGTGGCATGTGAAACCCTCTTCAATCTACCTTTTGTTCCGATCAGGATGTTCATTTTATTTGCTTGCATTTGACGCGGTGTTACCAGTCTCTCAGCGTTACCATCCTTGTGCTATGTTCTTGAATAGTCTTTTATTTTATCATTACTTTCAAGAGCGATGATAAGTTAATGAGAAAAGCTGACGCAATCTCGTTTGATTTGTTTCCTTTGAACCTTTTATTTGTATGCATTAATATCATATTATTCCTTTGCATTTTCCAATCCTTGAATCCACTGATCTGCTCTAACTGTGTCGCAGGATGATGTCTTCGTATACTGTGCATGGTCCCTGATCGCGTTCCCCAAATTCTCCAATTGAGACTTATTCTGGTAGAATGTGTGAGTGTACGTACGATAATCTGCACTAGAATATATGCATAGTGGGTTATTGTGCATTCGGTGTAGTTTCTGATTTATATTTTTTGTGTCTTGTGGAGATGCATTTTTCTTTCTGTAATTTTCTTGACTTGTAGGGGATGGCCTATCCATTGGCTCTCTCTTTGATCTATTCCAATAAATTTAGTGCGTTTTGATCCGGTTTGTGACATTCCAAATCAAAAAAAAAAAAAAAAAAGATTTGTCATTTGAAAGCTTCGAGGTGGGGTGTGATGGTTTTGAATGGAAGTTTATAATTTCCTTCTTTACCTGAATGTTATTGTTTTTCTGGTCCGAGTGCATTCTTTTAGCAGAATAGAAATGAATTGTCAGCAGGTAACAAGCTTTCAGTTCAAAGTTCAGGCTGCACTTATAAATGGTGTACGCGAATTCAATTTATTGTGAGTTAGCTTATAGGCCTTGGCTTTGGAATCTTAGTGCGTATGCCCTTTATGCATTGCTTTGAATGATTCTCATATTAAATATCTTAATCTTAGTCTATTATAGTGGAATTTTTATTGTAACCATTTAAGTAGAAAAGATTGAATAGCTACTTTGCAGATGAAAGCATTGAGTGTAATAATTGGAGGATAATTTTCAAGAGACAAGCCAGCTCCCTTGCCTGATTGAGTTCTATCAATTTGATAGTTTAAGCAGAGCTGAGTCGCTTCTCATTACTCCTAAATTGTGCTAGAATGAAGGTGCAGGTTCCCACTTCATCTAGACTGTAACTGAGAGGAGCGGCCATATGGATGCAAGAGGAGGTTGAGCTTTGGTTCAGTAGCATTAGGAGCTATTAGGCCTTCCTAAAACTCGCTTAGACTTGATATTGGTTTACAAGTGGTAAAAAATTGTACATACAAAGCGCGTTTTGTTGGAGAATAAGCCACACTAATTCGATAGTTTCCTGGAGACGTTTCTTGATTGACTAGAGTGCAGTTGTTTTATCTGTATTTCACTTACTTCTTCTTCTTCTTTCTCTTATTTTTTTTTTTTTTCAACTTTATTTTATTCTAATTTTCTTTACCAAGATGTCAGTTAAGAAGATGTAGCTTTACTACTGGGCTTCTCTATTCCCTTGGCTTCCTTGCTTTGCACTCATACAAACTTTTGCCAATGAGAACTCTTGAAGGGGTTTCCATGTGCAATAGTATATAAAAGAAAACTCCATGATGGAATAGAGATATAAATTCGATAGATAGTGAAAGAGACTGAAAGAAAAAGGCCTAAGAAAGAGTACAATTTTATTGTTCGTCAATAATTAGCAGCTCTCAGCGTTAATTTATTGTGCAGAAAGTTACATAGTGGGCTTATCTTTTAAAATGAGAAGATAACGAGTGAACTGTATTTTGTGTTTTCTATGTGTTTAAAAAATCTAGAAGCAAGGTTTCGCTTCTAGGTGTGGTTGTATAATACACTTTAAACTTTATTGCATATTTTCACCCTTCTCCTGACTAACAAAATACATGAATTAAAATAGGTTGAATTTTTGTCTCTATTCCCCACATCCTTATCCTTGTTAAAACTCAGTCTGTACCAGAATGATTTTGGTATTGCTTCTCAGCGAGGTTCACTATGCTTGTTGACTAGACACTTCAAATATTCAGTTTAATTCGAAATTAAATTTAGAGTTGTGTTCTCCTAATTTGATTGGCTAAGTAGTTCTAAGTTGGAGGTAATCCTTAAGCCCCCAATAAAATTCGGCCACCAT